CCCAACTTCATTTGCGAGTAAGAGCCCATATCGCATACCTCTAGCTTCTGCCGTAGCCGCGTCTTCCACAAAAGGGATATCACCGCATGAGGCTGCGACGAAGAAACCAGCTTCATCTCGTGAGATTGCACCCGTACCCCCTGTTCCCCTATCAGGATCAAAAGTGGCATCGACATTAAGTTTGGGAACTCCCTCCGATGGCTTACTCCATCCTTTTTAATTGTGGCTGACTTGTTCCTTTTTAATTGGACTAAATAGCCATCTCCTCCTAATTAATCGCCCCCTGATTTTAACTGGTGGGGGTGGGCGCCAAGCCCGTAAAGCTCCGTTGATGTAGCAAAGCCGCTGATGTACTGTGACGACATCGTGCGAGTTAGCCAGTCAACTGGGGATTGTACGACCGATGCAAGCATTGTCATTTTGGTCTGCTCTCTTTGTTTCTAAAAAACGAGCAGAACCACATCTTCAGCCATGAAGTGTTGAATATATAAGCAAATTACTACGAGATTTAATCCGAATAAATATAAAATAAATCATGACAGCAATAACAGAGATTAAACTAATCATGTGAACTAGCATAGCAGATGAACAGATCGAATCTAGGACACAGACTAGAAACATGAATTCTACCATGATCTCGAATAGGAAGGACAGAATCACATACGGTGCAACGGAAGCAGCACCGTTGGTGTTGAGGTTGTCGCCCATGTCCTTGAGGAAGAGGTTGCCGAGGTCGTGAAAGAAGTCGTCGTCGGTGAAGTCGTCGCTGCCAGCAGTCGCGCGAGTGCACTCCACAAAAATTTGATCATCCCTCTCCCGTATAGGATCACGAGAGGCGGGGTTCCGGAGGCCTATTGCCCCTAAGCGGTGCACGCCAAAAGGAGAGGTGGAGAAGACTTGCGTGGTGGCGCAATGATCTGAAACGATGGTGCGAATCCATACGATTCGGCGGCGACTAGGGTAGACGTTTGACTGACTATATAATGCGGGCCGGGTAGGTCGTGAGAGTAAACCCCACGTCCGAGTCACGATCCAACAGAATCGAAAACAGTTCAGTAATTAATGCGTCTGTTAATTATTAATTAATGACTCATTATTTTTTCCTGAGCAGCAAAAATATAGACAACATGCATAGCTATGTCCTCGGCTCATTCCCGCAACCCGCGGCGCGTCGTGACGAGACCTGGTGTGGCGAGGCGAGGGAGGAGGAGGAGCGCGCGTGTAGGTCTCCTCTTCTCATGCTCACTAGATCGGAAACACGTCTTGGCGTGAGGGTGCCGGTCCCAACAATGTGGTGAAGCAAGTAATTCTCGAGTTAGTGGGAATCCTGATTTAGCGTACGTATTGAAATAGGACAACAAAATAAAGAAGAAGAAGAAGATGATGATAAAGAAGAGGAAGAAGAAGAAGAAACATTCATTTATAATAGAAGACATCATCGAGTTCAACATTGTCGTGAGATTATAAGACAATATCAAGTTCGGTACATTCATGAGACCATGAAAGGTAACCACTTCCATCCAGTTCGGTACCAAGAGGGCGAACATGAGAGAGCAATGTCCTAATCTAAAACAAAGTTTGCAGCACATCCATGCATAAGCAAAGCAACTGCCCAATATAGGTTAAAGTTATACCAAAAACAACTTTGCTACAAAAGTAACATCTCAAAAAGCAGGAGGTTACTAAACACTTACTAATAATTCAATATTAAACATCAAGGTTCATCACACAACATTGGCAAACTTCACACCAAATCATACTTGTTGTAACAAATACACAAATATACTGAGAACAACCTTTCGGGAGCGTTAGTGCATTTCATGAAACAATGATGTAAAGGGGGACATCCACGATACAACATATTTGTGGCCCTCAAATTTCACTTCTGTCTCCATGTACATTGGAATTTGATGAGGACATCAATACCATTATTACACCCACAACCCCTGCCGCTATACATACTAAACCAATTACTAGAGCTCGTGCACGCCAATTGAATTACCAGGTACTTTCATTTCTTTGTGACAATTTTAATGTTCATGAGAATATGATGTTGCCTAAATTGGATACAGTTGTGTTGATTACTAGTGAAGGGCCTAGCATGGACAAGAGTGATGAACACTGGAGCAGGATCAAGCATGGAGATGAAGGCGCACGCGAAGGGATCTAGAATGGCATTTCTAGTGCATATTTGAGAACTTTGAAGCCTCTGTGATGACCTACAAGGACATGGACGAAATATACAAGATGCCCCTTCATAACTTTCGTCCATAGCTTATTTTAGGTGCCGCGCCACCTTATTTTTTGGCCAGGCCCATGTAATTTCAAAATAATTAAGTATAGGTTGTTTTTAGAGTTCGTATGTGTGGGGAAACAAAGTTAGGGTTGGTTTCGAACCCCTCCTACAAGGGGACACGAAATCCCCCCTACTCCATATATACAGCCCTTTGGGCGTCGTTTAGTCTTTGGGTTTTGTTTAGATTTAAAGTTCGCCATAGCTGCAACTTCACGTACTTCATTTGTGTTCAACGACCAGATCAAGACGCCATAGAACCTCATCTTGATCAATAAAGCTTTCATCTTATATTCGCAATATCCAGATTGCAATCTTAGTTTCTTGCTTGTTCTTCGTTTGCTTGCAGGAAATAGACCCTCGTGGTCAGGTTGATCGTGCTCCGGCGTGGTCAATAACCCCTTGGAAGTTGGTTTAGCGATTGCTAAGGCGTGACGTCTTCGCACGTTCCTAGTCGGATCGTCAAAGTCGACTTCCACAGAAAACGATAGTTATCTCATCGAAACATTGGGACACCTTCGCCTCTATCAAGTGGTATCAGATTTCTAGGTTGCTCGGTGAGATTTTACAGTTTTTCGTAGTTTAGATCGAGTATGTTTTTCATACCTATAGTCCACGAAAAATCCACAAAAAAATTAGGGTTAGTTCATCATATCCGAACCAGTCTGAGCCTTTGCATAGTCTTTTTAGTATTTTGCTTTGTTGAATTTGCGGTTGCATCATCGTGTAAAGTTGCTGGTCTTAGCATCTAGTCTTTTAGAGTTTCGAGTTCTGGTCATAAGTTGTCACGCCACCGCCGCACCATCATCATCACCCCTGCCATCTACCACCACCTCTTAACTGCCACCACTACTTCTTGAGATTGCGTTGGTTTCTCCCTTAAAGAGGAAAGGGTGATGCAGCAAAGTAGAGATAAGTATTTCCCTCAATTAGAGAACCAAGGTATCAATCCAGTAGGAGACAACGGACGAATCACCAATTCCTGTAGAAACAATCAAACAACTTGTACCCAGCGCGATAAAGGGGTCGTCAATCCCTTCACGGTCACTTGCAAAAGTGAGATCTGATAGAGATAGATAAAACTAAACAAAATATAAAGTAAATATTTTGGAGTTTTTTTGGTTTATAGATCAGAAAGTAAAAGATTGCAAAATAGTAGATCAGAAACTAATATGAAGGAAAATAGTACATCGGAAACTTATATGATGGAAAATAGACCCGGGGCCATAGGTTTCACTAGAGGCTTCTCTCAAGATAGAAAATAATACAGTGGGTGAACAAATTACTGTCAAGTAATTGATAGAAAAGTGCAAAGTTATGACGATATCTAAGGCAATGATTATGAAATATAGGCATCATGTCTGTGTCAAGTAGACCGAAATGATTCTGCATCTACTACTATTACTCCACACATCGACCGACTCCTGCCTGCATCTAGAGTATTAAGTTCATGAAGAACAGAGTAATGCATTAAGAAAGATGACCTGATGTAGACGAATAAACTCAAGCAATATGATGTAAACCCCATCTTTTTATCCTCGGTGGCAACAATACAATGTGTGCCTTGCTTCCCCTACTATCACTGGGAAAGGACACCACAAGATTGAACCCAAAGCTAAGCACTTCTTCCATTGCAAGAAAAACCAATCTAGTTGGCCAAACTAAACCGGTAGTTTGAAGAGAATTAAAAAGATATCAAATCATGCATAAAATAATTCAGAGAAGATTCAAATAATATTCATAAATAAGCTGATCATAAATCCACAATTCATTGGATCTCGACAAACACAACGCA